TCCCAGGTATCCTGTGCGGATCTTCGAGGACCCCGGTCCTTGTGGTGATGTGGGGGTGGCACATCTGAAGAGGTCACTGGTCATTTGATTGAGGTTTTGTGTGCTCGCTGGGCACCACCCTGGGGACCCCACACCAGCCCTGACCCAGCGGAAACGCAATACAGACCTACGTGGTTCTTGCTCCTAGTTTGATGTTTGCTCCTGGGCAGCCTTTGATACAAAAACTCAAACACACAGAGACACTGCGTCTACCCAGCACCTCCATCATAACATGCCTGCTTTTTGGTGGGCCTTCAGAAATGACTTGTGGGCACCATGAGTCTGCTGAGAAGATGAACAGGCGTGTTAATGCGGAATGCGCCTTCCATGCTCGCTTTTCCCCGGCAGTCTGCAAAACGCCGTGCCTTTAACCCTGAATGCAGCCAAGGCCTGTGATTGTATATGTGTCTAAGTTTCTAATTTCAAATGAATCCTTCCCTTGTAAATCGGTCTCGGTTTAAAAATGGGCATCGACTATAGAGTAAGAGATTTTAAGATTAAAAAAAACACGTTTACATGCCTGCTTCTCTCTCTACTATGTACCAGCTCTCTAGTTGCTTCTGTGACGTCATTGCTGCTGAGTCCTACTTGCCACGTAGGGATGCGGTTTTAGTTCACCAGTGTTTTCCTACCTTTCAACATCACATCTGTTCTAGCAGACTCAACCCCCAGAACTTAACATTGTGGATATTTTAAACTGTGTTGTTACTTAGCGTGACCCTTCATTTTGTGTTTGCTGAAAACTGAAGTTAGGTCAAAGGTCTAAAGAATATTTTTGGCAAAACATGGACCACTCCAAAATTTAAGTTTCTCTTTTCTACCTGTCATGTATCAGAAAGTCGTATGTATCTGTAACCCCAGACCTGGTGCTTTCACAGTGGGACAGCTTTTAGTTTCTTGTCACCTGACTCTTAAGCTGCTTAGCCTATCTGGTGTAAACCAGTATCGATTCCAGGTTGTGCTCACAGAGAGCTTTGTGTGGCTGCTGTTATACAGCAATGCTTTGAATCGTGTGGATCTTGGTTCTGGATTTGGGCCCATTTGGGATGCAGTGTGGGGCCGTCTGATGCTGCACATCTCTCAGTCTTTCCTCTTGTCAAGTGGGGATTTATAAGAGCTTTGTGGCGTTGGACCTGGCCTAGGAGAAGCTCTCGGTCGATGCTAGCGTGATTGTTCCTGACCTTGAGCTGCTGTTGTAATAATGAAGCAGAAACGCGTCAACCTGCCTCCCCCATTTTCAGGAGAACCACCCTCTGCGGCACCCTGGACTACCTGCCCCCGGAGATGATCGAGGGCCGAATGCACGATGAGAAGGTGGATCTCTGGAGCCTTGGGGTCCTTTGCTATGAATTTTTAGTTGGGAAGCCTCCTTTTGAGGCAAGCACATACGAGGAGACCTACAAAAGAATATCGCGGGTAAGACATAGCTGGGAAGGGTTCCGAGCTGCACTGAGACTTCTTACCAGCCTGACCTCAGGCTGCCCTCTCACTGCTTACGCTTCTCTCTCTAAACCGTGTTGTGTGACTGTCACTTGCTGTGCTCCAGGTTGAATTTACATTCCCTGACTTTGTACCAGAGGGCGCCAGGGACTTCATCTCAAGACTGTTGAAGCATAACCCCAGCCAGAGGCCCACTCTGAAGGAAGTGCTGGAACACCCGTGGGTCACGGCAAACTCATCCAAGCCACCAAGCAGCCACAAAAACAAAGACTCGACGAGCAAACAATCTTAGGGCGTGCAGGGAGCAACCGGACCCAGGGCTGCTGTGGGAGCTGCTGGGGCGGGCTGCTGGCCTTCAGCTGGTGCCGACGACTGCCATCTAGGGCGCTCCAGGAGTCATTTTTCTCTTTCACTGGGCAGGCAGTACTTGGCCTCCCCGTTCAGAAACTCTGTGGCAACAAACACGCCAAAGGAAAGTGTTTCACGAGACTGTGAGCGTCCCTGGTTTGAGTTCGAGGCAGCCGCTCCACAGCCTGTCCTGGGTGAGGCGACCTCCCCGAAGACTCGCCAGGCCTGACTGGGGCGAGTGGCTGCTGAGCCCTGATGGTCAGTTGAGAGCTGTGCAATACCTTCCGAGTACCCCAGGGTGTATGTAACTTATTGGGGGGCCACGTGTGGTCTAGCTGTCAGAATGAATATGGGATTCTTCCTTTTAAATGTTAAAATAAAGAATTTTGTGCAGGCTTGTGTGTTCCGTGGCACCCTGTAGGAATGATGTCTGCCTGGCCCTCCTGGTGACCGCAGCCTCTGCTGTCTGACACTATGGTGGCACATGCTCCCCCACCCCAGGACTGTTAGGGGCAGGTGCTACTTGCGTCTCCAAGCTGTTTGTAAATGTTACGGGCTGCATTCTCTGCGTGGAGGCCTGGCCGCGTGCACCCCTGCGCAGATGCATTTCTAGAGCACATGGGGACTCCCACCCGCTCACCACTGGCAGAGCTGGTCTGCCTGTGCCTGGTCCCTTGTTCTGTGCCCCTGTGTCGGGTTCCCCATGTGTTCCTAGCGGCCGTGCCATCTGTCAACCAAAGGTGTGGGAAACAGTGGTGAAGGGTAAGGCCCCTGTGATGTGTGCGGGACAGTGAGAACTAGGGGTGACTTACTCGTGGCTGACTTCCAGGCAGCATGTCATGTCTAAACAGTAGTGACAGGAACTGGGAGTGTCCAGTTACCCCTGGGGACAAAGCAGCTCTTGGTTCCCACAGTCTGGAGCAGAACCAAAGCATGTGCCCCAGGCACCCTCACCCACGCCGGTCCGTGCGGCACGGCCAGCTTCGCCAGTGGTTCTAGCGAGACTTCGTCACTTGCTCAGGCTCCCCCATGTGAGCAAAGGAGACTGCTCCTCGTAGTAACCGCGTCAGCAAGCTGGGCGCATGTGTGCTGCTCTGTACTCAACAGCGAGGGCTTTCCAGAAGAACGCAAAGTTCTCCATGGACTTGACAAAGATGTTTGTTTCACAGAATTTAAGTTGCTGTTTTGTCAGATAAAAACAGTACAGGTAAATACTGGCTTGTATTTTTAAAATAGACAGCTTTATTCCCCTAGGTCCATAAAAACAATGTAAATACAAGGAATTCGTATGTCTTGCTGGTGAGTTCACATAACACTTGAGTCCCTGGTCGCTGGCTTCTCCTCCAGCGGGGCTGCCGGGGCAGAGCTGGGCTTGGAAGGGCACAGGGTGGCGTAGGGTGTGATAACCACTTGTATTGCTTGGCCTTTCCACCCATTCCCATCACTCCAAACAATTCCAATTTTAAGACTTAATTTGGAAAAGAGCTAACGTGGCTTTTGTGCATATGCCTTACTAGGGCCCCGGTGGCCGGGAGGCCGGCCGGCTCCTGTAGTGCGGGTGAGACGGAACGGCGGGTCCTGTGCATGCTGGCTGACCTGCGCAGCTGCAGGCATCCTGGGAATTTTAAGTCAGGAAAACTTCTGGCTCTGGGCTAAGTGCTTGAAAAGGACGCAGATACCTGTGAAAGGTCTTGGAAGCAGAGACTGTCCCACAGAGGTCTGACAAAAGTAAACTTAAGAACTAGTTAACTAGTTGATATGGGGGCGAACTTGGTGTCAAGAGGCAGGGCTCAGTAAAGCCAGGGCAGTTGAATTCTAGTTCTTTCCATTTTCTGATTGTCACAAAGGTAATTAAAAAAATGGGGCAAGAAAGATAAGCACAGCTCCTTCCCCCATGGAGGTGGGCAGAACTGGTTTCCTGGGGGCTCCGGGCAGGCAGCTTCCATGATGCTGAATCCCACAAAAGGGGGTCCTCCTCAAGTGCCTGCTCTGTGCTTGAATTTCTAAAGTAACCTCCCTAACAGAGTGAGGGGCTCTCAGGACACCCAGGACAATCTGCTCAGTTGAAGGTGGTAACACCTGGCTCTCCTCCCGGGCCTCATCACTGCAGCAAGGGAGACCACCTTGCCTGTTGGGTGAGCGATACAAAAATCTTTTTAACTTAATAAATTTTAACTGTCAAAAAATATTGGTAGCAACCCAGTGTATACATGAGGCAGCCATTCTGGAATGTCTGAGGCTTGCAGAGGGCTCAGCGCGGTGCCCTTCTCGCCTTGTGTGCAGGGATGGGCATCTGGAGCCGCTTGCGCTGGACAGAGCTTCGTGCTTTACCTCAGCAGAGACTAGAGAAGAGCCACCTGAGGTGGACCCCTTCAGCCAGACTGGAAGGTGCTTTGGGGGTCACTGAAAACTAGAAATACTATTTTTCTTTCCCCCAAACAAGTGTAAGAATGTCGAAGTGTGGAAGCTGAGTTAGATTCTGATTACACATTGTTGCGTGTTCTTTGTTCACTGGCACTGGCGGCGGCTTTGCAGAATATTGCATATTAAACTGCAGGCAGCCTGACAAAAATTGGAGGAAAAGGAATTTAAATATCAAGCATAATGAATCGTTGCCTTTTAAGAATCTGAGCAAAGATGAACTCCTAGGGCTTCTGCAGACACCCTTGCCAAAGATCTTCCAGAAGGAACATTTCCTGGGCTCACAAGGTGGCTGGAGACAACTTGTTTTGTGATGTTCTGCTGACATTGTGGATTATGGTGAAGAGCATTCAGAAAGCTTCCGAAGAAGGAAATTACAATTGTTCAAAAACCTGAACTTGGCTTGCAAAGGTAAGACTTATCCATGAGAACATAACAATTCTCCTCCTGCCCCCCCACCCCAAGCCCTTCAACTCTAAGACTAATCTAAAAATACCTAATTTAAAAGATAGGTTTTCAGATCTACAATCGAAGATTCATCAAGGCTTTGCAGCTGGAGGCTTAAAAAATCCCACTTTCCGGAAATATCTGACAATCAGGGGCGCGGAAACTAAGGTGATGCTGATCCTCACTGGCGCGAAGAGCTTGTGGATGGCGTAGGCCACCACGAAGGTGCTCGTGCCCGCCGCCACCTTCGACTGCACCAGCGACTCTTTAAATCCCAGTTTAAGCAGGACTGCGGACATGTCCACGCCGCTGCGGGGGGAGGAGAGGGCAGAAACGAGACAAAACGACCCGATTATTACAGCAAGGGATTAAACTTAGGAGGTGACTCGGTTATAAGATTTGCAGCATCTTTTAAAATGATGAAAGCTGCTAAAGTCTTAGGGGGAAAGTTCTCATAAGGCCCACAGGACGGTGGGGACGGGCCCGGAGCTCACCTCGACACAACCATGTAAAAGATGCCCAGGGACGTGAGCGAGACCGCGATGTGGAACGACACCCCGACCGCGCCGTACTCTTGGAAGACCTTTCTCAGCTGCTGGGCCTTGCTCGGTGGCTGCTCCGCGCTGCTGGCGCCGCCGCCTGTGGCCGCCGCGCCTCTGCCCGGGTCCTGTGCCGAAGCCAAAGGAGGGGAGACTCTTTAGGGCAGGGACGAGGGTGGCAGTGGTCCCCACGGCTTTGATGCTCACAGGGTCGGCTCTCCCCCTGCCCAGGGAGCTATTCCCTACCCGCTTGCTTGCTCAGGGCACAGGCTACTGCCCGCTGAGCCGCCAAGCCAGAGAGCGGCCGGGCACTAGGAATGGCTGCTGGGTGACGGCCCTACTCGGCCCGCGCCCCCGGGCCTGTGCCTGTTACACGGCCAGAGGAGGCCGACACGGGGAGGTTCTTCTGGGGCATCGAGTGTGGCCAATGTAATCACAATGGAGGGGGGAGGCAGGCGGGAGAAGCAGATGTGAGGACAAGCAGCTTGAGACCTGAAGCTGCCGCGTAGCTGGCTTTGCAGGGGGAGAGGGCGGCGAGCAGCGCCCTGTGGCTCCAGACAGGAAACAGGCTCTGCTCTTGGAGCCTCCAGAAGGAACCGGTCTGGCTGACACTTCAGAGTGAGCGTGGCTGTGACAAGATTCCAGGTTCTTGGTGGCTTCTTGTGGCGGCCAGAGGCTCACTTGCTTAAGCAAGGATACTTGACCTCACACCTTCCGGGCCAGGCAGGGCTCAACCGCGGCCACGGCACCCTACAGCACCCCCAGTGCTCTTCCTCTCGGGGAGCAGAGGCCCAGGGGCCAGCGCAAGGTCGCCAGGACCAGGCCAGGCTGTCCGCAGCCTGAGCGCATAGCCGCCATGTGACGCTACCAAATGTGGTGTGACATAAACAGCCGAACTAGTGTCTGAACTTCCAGAATTAAGATCTGCTCTGAGCAGGTCACTTGACCAGGAGCAGGTCAAGTGGGCGCTGGGGGCCTCTCAGGTGGCGCAGGGGGTTAAAGACACAGCGCTATCAAGCTATCGGCAGCCACGGTGGCATGAGTTCGATCCCCGGCCAGGGAGCTACCCACATGGCGCAGCAGACCTCTCCTGCCTCGCCCGCTGCTCCCCTCAGCAGTGTGTTTCAGTCTGCCTGTTCTGCTCCCCACTCTGGTGAATCCTCCCACCCCCCCCACCTCTGGCTTGCACCCCAGTTCTTGTATGCAGTAATGAATAAATCTTTAAAAGAAAAAGTGGGGGCCAGGACATTAAACTGAGCACCTACAGGGAGAAAGAAAAAAGCCACCAACACCAGATTAAAAACCCAAGTCCAAAATTCCTTCTCAGCATGAAAAGTGCTTTTCTCATCAGAGGATTTCCTGCACTCCAGTGACCTTCTCAGCGAGTCCTCACAGGCAGGATCTGGGTCATCAGCTCCAGTTTTATTCCTTTGCTGCTGGCCTACCTCTCCCTTGTATTTTTAGAGCCTGCTGCAGCTGAGCACCTCCAGGGCCATGTAAAGAACACAATACCCAGGAGCCCCTGGGGCCAGTCCTCCAGGCCTTGTCCAAGAGGGGCTCACCCCGAGTGGGAACTGTATGGCTGCTGACCACCTTGGGAGGTGCACCCGAGGGATAGGGTTCAGACAGGACCTGCAAGCTGATGGCCCTCGGTTTCTTCTCTTTGGGTCACCTGTGTGTCCAGATAGGGAGGTCGCTGGAAGGGGGAAGGGGTGCAAACCCCAGCAAGACCTCAGCCTGGCTTGGGTGTTCAGGGGAGACACATCTGTAATAAGCCCAAATGACCAATCCACCCTTACCACACTCTCAAGATCAAGCCCATAGGTCTGGCCAAAACAGTCTCTTCTCAACACAGTGGCCAGAAAGAGCCTGTGGAAACCAAGGTGGGTGACAGCAGCACTCCCCCAAGCTCCCCTGGGAGCCAAAGTAGTCCTTGCTCCAGACCCCTGGCCCACAGACGCCCCCAGCCCCTGGAATGTGGCTTCCCTGTCCAGCCACACCCGCATTGTGCTGTCTTGCCTTGGCGTCGGGAGCTGCCCCCTCACTGCCCCCTCCAGATCCTTCTCTGTGTCATCTCAGAGAGAGGCCTTCCCGAAGCGGAGCCCCCTCCATGCCTTCTCCCTGTGTCTTATCCGCCTGCCATCACCACTGGGCAGATCGTTTACCCACCAGGTTATCTCTGTGACCACGGGCTCTGGGGCCAGATCTGTGTCTCTCACGGCACCGCCTAGAAAGTCAGGCTCAGAAACTAGCTGCTACATGGGGTCCTTCCTCCTCCCAGGGAGGTCATCCACATTGGGTCACCCGTACTGGTCCCTCCTAAAGCAGCCATTTCCCCCTAACAGTTCTGCGATGTAGGTTACGAACCACAGGGTTCCAGTAGACGGCTGAATGGCTTACATGGACTTAAGAGTCTCAGCCATCGCTGATTTTGGAACATTTGCACCACCCAGTTATCTGCACCTCCTTCTCCCAGGGCACCCTGTCTTTCTGTCTCTGAGATTTGCCCATTCTGGGCATTTCATGTACACGGGACTGCACATTGCGCGGTCCTTTGTGACTCTGCTGTAGGCTAAATGCATGTGACCCTCAAAATTCATAGGTTGAAACCTGATCCCTAATGTATTTGAGATGGGAGGTGGACATGGTGGGGGGAGCCCCCGGGAACGGGTTAGTGTCTTCCTTCCTGGCCCTCCAGCCTGTGAAGATCCCGCGAGCAGACAGACCAGGAAGCAGCCCTCACGGGGCCTCAGTCTACCAGTGCCTTGACCTTGGACTTCCAGCCCCCAGAACTGAAAATTCTGAGGCTTTGAGTCCCGTCTACAGTGTTTTTGTTATAAAGGTTGGAATGGACCCAGTTTCTTTCACTTAACACCATGTTTTCAAGGCTCATCTACCCTGTAGTTGGTATCAGAGCTTCATCCCTTTTCATGAAGCAGAATTTGATTCAATTGTCCTACAAAGTACAGGCTCCAGGGTTCACTGTGTGGGCCAGCCAGGTCAGGTCACCCTGGGGCCGCGCTTCAGCCTGGCTTCAGGCAGGGCCAGGAAGCAGTGGCATCCAGAGAAGATAAACTCTGGGCGCAGAAGGCAAGGAGGCCACACAAGCAGACCCCCCTGTGTCCCCGGAGGCGCTGAGGCTCAGAAAGGGCACACGAGCATTTTTGACCTTGGGGTAAAACCTGCAGCATTCCCCTTGATTTTTAACCCTACAAAGCAGCTACTCATTGCTCCCCTCCCAAAGCCTGTACAAAAATTCAATTTATTCATGAAGAGTCTTTTCTCTGCCTCCCATCTGAGAGCATCTCTTTTGTTCCCAAACAGTAGTTGGGACAAAAACAAAACAAAACAAAATGAGACAACCCAGAAGCTTTGGTCCTGCAGCTCATCTCAGTCGTGTTCAGGGCCCGCAGTCCTGGGACCAGCATGTCATTTGCGGCGTCTGAAGACAAACAAGACAAAGGCAAAACAAAGCGGGGGAGCGGGGTCGGATGGGGTTACTGCAGCCCCAGAGACGACTCTGGTGGGCAGTGGAGTGGAACCTTTTTGGAGACGCTTGAAGAAAACTACCCATGGGCTCAGGGCAGGCCCCCACTGGAAAGGCCTCATTTCCTGCAAACTCTCCTACCCAGTGATGGGGGGTGCTCACTTGCTCCCACTTTGACAGTTGGCAGGCCGAGTTGGGGCAGGGAAGTGACAAGCCGGCCGCGCCTGGGACTGCTCCTGGCCATGAGGCCGCAAGCCCCCCTTCATAGCCGAACAGCCCCAAAGCAGGCCCCGTTGCCTGAAGATCCAGGCTCCAGAGGGAAGGAGGAAACCCGTCATGGTTTCCTTTGACTTGGCCAGCACAGCGACGCCCCTGTCCTCACAGCCCTTGACTGTCTCTGCCACCCCCCAGCAGGAGGCCTGCCCAGAGCTGGGGTTCTGATAAGGACCAGCCTGCCCACCTTCTGCCGCTGGGGAGACTCCAGATGGCCAGCGCTGATACTCAGCCGCCCACCGTGTGCAGAGCCGGCAACCTTCTGAGGCCCAGACAGCCCTTCCCCTCCTGTCCTTGACACTTGGCCCAAGGAAACCTGAGTGTGCCCCTCCTGCCCACTACCAGGACCCGGTGCAGCCAGCTCTGTGAGGGCCTTTCTTTTTTTTTTCTTACAACTTCTATTTCGGCAAAAGGCCTTTTGGCCAAACATGAGGGGAGAAAAAGACAGCCAGGCTTCAGAATAACCAGCATCTACTGCAACCCAACGGGAGGGACAAACATTAGCCCCCACGGACAAGTGTCTGCCCTGTGCTCCTCCCTCGGGGCAGACGGACAGACAAAGCCCTGCCCTCAGGGAGTCTAGAGTCTAGTGGCGGGGGAGGGAGCTTAAGCAGAAAAGGCAGGCCCAGGGCCCAGAGGGATGGCAGGTGCGTAGAGAAACACGAAGGGAGGTGGACAGGGAGGACTTCGGGTTTAAATGAGCTCATCAGGGAAGTGCTCCCTGAGGACCGCTGGAGATGAGGACACTGGGGACACTAGGGATCCTGCAGAGCAAGTCACTAGCCCACGGTTTCCCTCCCAGAGTGGTTAGGCAGGCAGGCAGATTAGTGTAGGCGTAGCCGGGGGAGGACCTTGAAGCATGCACAGTAAAAAGGGCAGCTTCTCGGGTGACTGTCTTTACTCTTCCTCCTGCTGAGAGCACAGACTCCGGGCTGGAGGCAGAGGTGGGCACTTAATTAACCTGGAAAACTGGGACCTTTGGAGACCCCAGCTGGGCGCTGCTTGTCCTCCCAGTGACCACAGTGAGGAGCCTGGGGGAGCCAGGAACAGGGCAGGGGGCAGTGGAGGCTCTGGGTTGGCCAAAGCCCACCTGTCCCTCCACCAGCTCCCAGGCCCCCTGGGGAGTGTTTCCAGGGAGAGGAGTATCTTTTGTCCCAACTTCCTGTTAGGTTCTGATTCCACCTGGATCCTGGATCGGCCCTTGCAGCAGAGAAACAAGACAGCGCCCGGGGCCCTGTGGTGTCGTACATTTATTGCGATAATAACAATAGCTAATCGAGTCAGAGCCAGCCGGATGCCGGCAGGAGCGTGACGGGTCTGCACTCACAGTATGAAAGGTGAATTGGTGACACCCACTGTACAGACGAGGAGACAGGGAAGCGTTGGGACTGATGAAGGCCACAGCGAGTGGGGCGCACCGGGAGTCCGAGGCCACGCACCACTGTATACGGGCATCATCGCTCACACGCACCTGCCAGTGGCAGAGCCTGGGCTGGGTGAAGGCTGGGGTGGCCAACAGGACAGACGAGGAAGCCAAGAGACCATCAGATGGTGAATGCAGAGATATCACCCCCCATGGGTCTGAGGGGGCCGGTGGGGCACCCGAGGCATCCCTGGGGGTCAGGGAGGGCTTCCTGGGGGTAGGGACTGCGGCACTGAGCTGTGAGAATCGCCAGGAAGCAGCGGTGTTTGGAGGGTGCCGGCTGGTGCAGAGCCCCAAACTGGGCTCAAGGCTTAGAGACAAGATCCTGCCTGTCAGATGGGGGAGCAGGGTCAATGCCAGAGGCCTGACCTCCACGGAGTGTTCAGGAAGCCGGCTCCAGGGGTCCTGTGCTCAGGCCTACATCAGCTCATGCCATTGTCTCCCAAATTCCTGTTGGGAGGTGCTGTTTCGGCCCTGAGAGCTCAACAACAGGCTCAGGGCCTGCAGCGCTCGGGGCGCGCCCAGGGGCCGGGAGGGCACCCAGGCAGGAGGGACTCTAGGGTGCAGAGCTGAGGTCTGCCCCACAGCAGAGGTGTCCCGGCCTGCTGAGCTCGGGCACCGGCCTGAGTCACGGTCCGAGTGGCACCGGGGTCACCTGGGTGCACGGAAGGCGAGGGAGGGAAGCACAGCCCGGGGTCTCGGCGAGGCCCGCCTGGAGCGAAGGCGGCCAGCGGCGGGATGGGGAGGGCGCGGAGAGCGCGGCAGCCGCCCGGGCGCAGGCGGGCGCCCCCCGCCGTCGGGGGGGGGGCAGGGGCCGGCCCGGCGCCGCCAAGTTTACGGCCAAGTCCAGGTTCCACCTGCAGTCCCGCCGCGTCCTGGGGGCGGCGCCTCCGCTGCTCCGCCTGCCGCCTGGGGAGACCCGGCCTGTGGCGCGCGGGGACCCGGGGCCTGGGGCGCCCCGGAGGCGAGCGGCCGCGGCGCGGGGGGGGGTCGGGGCGCGCGGGTCGGGGGCGTCGGGGGGCTCACCTGGCGGCCGCGGCAGAGCCCGCGGGCGGCGCGCGGCATCCAGGCGGCGGGTCCCGGCCGGGGCAGCGGCAGCAGCCGGGCCGGCGGGCGCGGGGCGCGGCGGCACCCGGGAGCCAGGGGGCGCGGGGCCGGGCCCGGGCGCCCGCCCGGCCGGCGGGGCCCAGCAGCGTCAGCAGCCCGGCCATGGCGCGCGGGGCGCCCGATCCCGCCAGGCCGGCGGCGCGCGGGGGGCGGGCGCGGGGCGGGCGCGGGAAGTTCCGGAGCTGCGCGCGCGCCCGCCCTGACCCCACCCACGGCCCCGCCCACGACCCCGCCCCGGAGTCGGAGCCGCGGGGTGGGCGGGCCCGGAGGCGGGGCCAGCGCAGAGTGGGCGGGCCCGGAGGCGTGCACACCGATGGCCCCGCCCTCCAGCCCCTGGGACGGTCGCCTGCAGGGCGTCCCGGGGTCTAGGGCGTCCCGGGTCTGGGGCCTCCAACCCCGGACCCCGCTTGGCGGCTGGATTTAGTCTGTGGTCACAGAGGCGAGCGTGGGAATTCAGCCTGTGGGGTTTTCGCCCTACAGAAGCGGGCGACACCTGAGAAACTTGTGGGTGCATTTACCTATTCGCTCAGACGGAGGAAAAACTGTGGGCTCTGGCGCCAGCACTTGCCAGAATCCTCTGCGTGACCCCCGTGCGCTGTCGGCGTGAATTGGGGAAAAAGTGCAGCGTCTGCTCCCCCAGCCCCACGGCTCCGCTCCGCTCGGCTTCCGCAGCGGCGCCAGGTGCGCGCCCGCCGGGACCGCCGGGAGCAGGTTTCGTGGCCGCGGGAGAAAACCCGGGGCCGCCCGCGTGGCCATCACCGGGGACACACAGGGCGCCGGCGAGAGGCGCCCGCCGCGGTCCCTGCGCAGCGCGGAGGCACCTGCTCCCGTCCACCCGCAGCAGGTGTCGGAACAGGCAGGGCCGGGACCCGAACAGGTGGGCGCTGCCCGGGCGGGGCGTGGCAGGGGGCCGGGGGGACACCCAGGAGCAGCGGGAGCTTCAGGGGGGATGGACGGACCTGAAAACCTAAGCGCCCGAACGGGAGTGAGGCCTCAGCTGCCGGCGCCCCAGTCAGGATGGCCCGGGGACAGGTGCGCCCCGACGTGCTTGCTCCGTCTGTGAGACGGCGTTAGGCTCTGCGTGAGAGGCCATCTGGAGGGACAGAAGCGGGTCATGGATCTCATTTTAGCCTCCCAGCCACACGCTGTTCGTGTGACCTTGGGCACTTTTCATATAAACCGCCCTGAACCCCAGTTTCCTCGCATGTAGAATGGAGGCAGTGACCATCCTGGCTCAGCCTTGTTGAGGGCACTGGGGAGCTGATGTCCGCGGCTCACCCGGTGTTTGTCCCCCTCTGGGCAGCAGACGGCTGCAGCGTGTGTGCATGTGTGTGTGTGTGTAAGCAGTGGCCATTTGCAAGGCTCATGAGACCCGTGGGTGAGACTTTGGACAGGGCGCTTGGGGGACTCCTCTCTGCTCCTCCAGTCTGGGCGCAGCTGTGCATTAATGATTAACTACTGTGTAACAAAGTCCCCCAAAAGTAGTGACTTAACACACACCACGGCCTCATGGTCTCTGCAGGTTGGAAGTCAGGGCGCACCTAGCTGAGCTCTCTGCTCAGGGTGTCACCGTCCAGTGGTGGGGGGCTGCAGGCGCCTCAGGGGCTCCCCTGGGGAAAGACCCACATCCCAGCTCCTGCAGGTCGCTGGTGGAATTCATCTCGTGCCGTCGGACTGAGCCCTCACTCTCTGGTGGCCGAGGGCTCCGCGTTTCCCAGGGGCTGCGCGCAGTCCCTCCCCGCAGGCTCTCCCCACAGCAGCTCACAACGGGCAGCTTCAACGCCGTGAGGGAGATGTCTCGCTCTCGTGGGGAGGGGGGTTATCACCATCACCATCACCGTCGCCCTGGCCGCTTCCAGCTGGCAGAAGCAAGTCCCAGGCCCTGACCCTGCCGACGGGCAGGGATCACACCCAGGGGGTAGGTACTGGGGGCATTGCCTGCCCCAGCTGGGAAGAGTCACACGACATGGGGTGACGTGGACACTGGAGGGTTGGATTGTCTGGAAGCTTCTTCGCCACATAAGTGGGAACCTCGGCTGGGCACTCAAAGATGGGGCTGGGTGCTTTTGAGCACGTGGGTCCCCAGGCTACAGGGGCTTTTCAGTCATAGCAGCTGGGTTCCCCGGCGAGGCGCTCCACACCTGAACCTCAGTCTTCTCATCTGTAAAATAGGAATATAGGCACGCAGACCTCTCCTGCCGCCCGCTGCTCCCCTCAGCAGTGTCCTTCGGTCCTTCT